ACAATGGAATCAAAAGGTCAGTTAATTTTGGTGCCAAAATCGAAATCCTATTCTTCAGAATAGGTCTTTTTCATGAACCTTTTGAAGCCTAACTGGATAGTGACAGGACTGCAAGTGGAATCCATGGCACGTGAGCCAGCACCTGCCCACTGACTGTCAAGGCTGCTCTTCATCCTTGGCAGGCCGGGGTCCCTGCACAAACAGTGGAGTTTCCTTGAGTTGACAGCCATATCCAGATCTGTTCTCAATCTTTACAATCAACAGAACAGACTCATCTTCTTCCCTCTGGCTCTGAGGACTCTCCAGATACCATGGAAACCACTCCCTCCCCCCACATCCCACATCCTGAGAGTCTCCCCCCCACCCCGAGATCTCTGAACCCTTCTTGGTCTCCCTCTCATGGCCTCACACAGGGCTTCTCTGTTTCCTAGGGCCACCCAGCCAGTCTCCATGCTGCTGGGTTTGTGCAACCTTGAGCTTCATGTCACTGCCTTGCCTGAAATTCTCTGAGTTCCTCATCCCCACCAGATCAAGTTCAGAGCCTTATTCTAGACACTTGGCTCCTTCTCCACTCAGCCTCTGCCTTCCTTTCAATTCCATTCCATTCCCCGGTGCTTTCTGGGTGCTGGGCCATGGGCCAGATGCCAGAGACCAGAAATCAAAAGTTGCCAGGCTCACAGGGGAGGGAGGTGATAAACTGTGCCAGGGTGATGAGTTTAGTGGAAACCCAGAGGCCTCCTCCTCAGCAGTGATTAATTCCTGCAGCGAGTTGGTGCAGAACCAGGCTACAGTTAGATCTCCAGCTCTAGGGCCTGTCCTGCTACTCAATAAATCTGGCCAAAAAAACTTCTATCTTGCCCAACAGAATGAAAACAAATCAAGAAGACGCAAGATGAACCATGATTAATATACAAATTAAGTATTAAAAAGCAAAGCCCATAAAAGTTACCACAGGGACACTAAATCATAGTGAAATTAGAACATACAAATGCCACTCTTAGATGAGAAACATGAAGTACTATCACACTAAAGCACAGCCCTGATTGTAGTTCATGACTCCCCTGTGTTGGTCAAGTAACGGAGAAAATCAAGATAACTTCTGAGCAGGGGCAACATGGTACCCAAGCCCTTTAATTCTGATGACTATGAAAAATTCTAAGAACGTTACTCTTAGAAATCTAATGAATAGGAAAAACTCTGATGAATAAAATGCACATTTTGAAAAACTTGAATTTATGTCAAGCAGTCAGGAAACTAAATGGAGAAGCCATTAAGTGATTTCTTCCAAAGACGACAGTGGGAGGTTTTCATGCCAAGATGAAGGCAGTGTGAACAGCAGAGGGAAAGGGGATGGAAGAAATTTCTATAACGCTCACTGTCCTCAGAGGACAGCATGGCTCACAATCCAAGAAAGATATTGTCTAGGTTTATGGGATCATGTTTTTGAACCATGGGCTGTGATCAGGTCAAGAAAGCAATTTAGTGGTGCATGACAGTCAGTTTTTTTAATGCAAGAGAATAGAATTTAATAAAAAAAAACCATCAGGTTGAATTTCATGTAGCAATAGAAGTACTGTATCTTATGTATAACTGTGAATGTATGTGTGTGCATTAGTTAGCAGTGTATTATACATTTTACGTGATGGGTTGTAGTCACAAAAGTTTGCAAAGCACTCTTCGAGAAAATTTTCATTAGAAAGGGTTCTATTTTTAACACATACAAAACACACTCAGTTATGAATATTGACACTTTTCCTAATTCTTGGAGTCTGTTCTAAAATTAAACAGAGACTGGGGGGGGAGAATATTAGAACTGGAAGAACGATGCAAATTAGCAGAATATGAATGAGTGAACACTGCTAACAAGAGACCAGAGTGCACAAAAATGCAACAGATAAGCTCTGGTCTCTCTCCTAATGCCTCCTGCTTATGTTAACTGAAACTCCTTGGACGTTTTCCTTCCTTGTTGGAACACAGAATACATAGTAGATGCTCAATAATTGCTTGTCCAATGATCCCCTATTACTACCTGGATTCTCTCTTTGGTAACACTTATCATACAGAGTGAGAACTATCTTCCTAACATCAGTCTCCTCTATGTGTTGCAGCTTCTTGAAAGCTGTGCTTCTGTTCGTTCCTCTGCTGCATATCCACCCCATGACAGTGCCTGCAGAAAGCAAATATTCCATCAACTGACTGGAATGAACTAATGGCCATCAAAGGACAATAAAGATCTAGTTCTAATACCCAACTGATGCTTGAGCCCCTTTTCAAGAACAAACTGGTATCAGTTCAATGACCCAAAGAAATTTTTAACAAGAAAACTCAAGTTTACCAGAGCAAATGGCTTGGGATCTCTTTTGTCTCTTGGTCCAGAGGTCATGTTGACTCAAAGGACTTTCTCATCCTTTTATAGAATAAGAGTCACTTGAAATGGGACAGTTTTCTCAGACTACTAAGCTTGAACACCGTCTTTCTGGGCCACATCTATAATCCTGGGGACACACAGAAGATGAACTTTCTAACTTGAACAGCTTGAGGACAACAACCAGTTAGAATCCAAAGTGTCTGGGCTTTCCCAAGGTCCCACCTCCTCCTCACTTACTGGTGGAGGCAGGACACCCAGGAGGGCTGGAGGCAGAGGGCTAGGCTTGGAGGAGCCGTCAGCTGGCCAAGTGACTCAACAGGGAAGCAAGCCCTGGCTGATTCCCAATAGCAGCTCAGGCTGAGGGGCAATAAGCAGCAGGTAGGAGGTAACTGCTTGCTTTCCTCACCCCTCTCCCATACCTCAGTGCTGGCATCCAACATCCAAACCAGCTCCTAAGAGTGCAGCTGCTTGGGATGGGACATTAAAGAAGCACTGAGCACGGATATGTAGGGAAGGTGGTGCTATTCACCAGGCTAGGTGACTTGGAAAAGCGTCTGGTGAGACACCAGTGGGGAGATGCATAGAAGACATCTCACCTCAAAGGGTCAATTCCAATCCAAAGATTGCTCATGGTCCCTAGTTACCAGGGACCTTTAGATCTTCAGTCTAACGCTCTCCCGACTGAGCTATTTCGGCAACTGCAATGATCCCTAGTTACACCTCTCCTCGTCCAGGCACTCTAACAGTCTCGACCCATAGGAAGCCTTGTTTGTCAAGGACACAGATGAGTACTGAAGGTAGGGACGGTGCCCCTCTCTTTCACCTACACTACAGCAATGGCTTTAACCTCTGTGAGTCCTTCCTCGCACAGTCCCATCTCACTTCTCCGTGGTGAGGAGGTAAGAAGCAGTGTAACTCTGGTCTGCAGGGGTCAGTGGACACCACAGAATCCAGAACACTCATTCTAGCAAACAGGTTCAGCCTCTCCCTCCCACCCAATCGCCATCCCCCGACCATCTGTCAGCACACAATGAAAGAATATAAATCACTCTCGGGCTAACCTGAGCAAAATGCAATCAAAAGAGTGAGTTGGCTTGGGACCAGAGAAGAAGGAAGCTGAATAAGGTTTACTCCAGAGTCAAGTGGGAACAAAATGTGGGTTTCTTCCTTTTTAAAAAAACAACGCTGTGTCGTTATTGTAGCTTGAGTATCTCAATTCTAACTGCAGTGTAACTTCATCTCTCCCTGCCAGTTTTCTGAGAAATCAGAGTGCATGTTTCAGAAGTCCAGCAGTGCCTGACGACTTAACAGGCCAGCCCACCACATTCACAGTCATCGGGATTACAGGGGTGCAAAACAGATGGGAGTAGAGGTTTGGTAGTCAGGGAGATTCCAGAATAGTGGTTCCATGGGCCTCTTTGGCCAAGAGTAAATTTCTTTAATCTATCTGAACTTGAATTATCCCAAGTACAAACTGTGGGTAACAAATCCATTTCACAGGGTTATTGAAATAAGAAATGGAAATCTGTAGGCAAGATGGTTGGCATGGTGTAGATGACCATAAATGATGGCTATTATCATTATCAGCATGGTTTAGCCCCTACAAGAGTCAGGCCCCAATGAGGAACAGAGCTAGCAGCCTCAGATCAGACAAACTTCTCCAATGCCCATGATGCTCAATGTCCCACATAGCATCATGTCCCCTCAGGTCCTTCCCTCCCCTGCCACGTTCACAGTTACTGTGGATGCGGAATGAGCTTCTCTGTTATCCAAATGAGGAATTCCACAGTTCTCACCGACTCCTCCTCCTCCCGCCACCGCAAATCCATCATCAGGTTCTGTTGTTCTGCTTCTTAAATATCTCAACTCCATCTGCTTCTCCCCAACTGCCTGCCACAACATTAATCCTGGCCACCATCAACTGGAAAAGATGTTCCCAACCCGGTCCTCCTGTCCCAGTCTTCCCCCTTCAATCCACCCTCCAAACTGCAACTACTGTCATATTTCTATAGCACAAATGTGGTCCCAACTCTCCTTTGATTCCAACTCTTCATGGGGTCCCCCAAATAAAACCCCAGTCTCTCAACATGGCTTCTGGAGCTTGCCGTGATCTACCGAAAGTCCAACTTCCTCCCCAGCCTCACCTCCCACTTTGGCCCTTGTTCTACATGCTCAGCTGTTCTGCATGATTTATAGTTCACCAAATGAATCAAGCCGTTTTCTCTCACCTTGCACCTCACACATGCTACCTCCCTTTCCGAGATGCACCTTTAACTCCTCCCCTCTTTGCACTAACTCAATTTGGGTGAAATTTTTTCCAGAAAGTATTCCCACCTGGGAATTGGGTTAGATGCCCCCTCCTCGGTATACAGATAATTACATATTTGCTTATCTCCTCCACTGCACTAAGAACCACCTGACAACAACACCCATTTTTTAATCATTGAGCATCCCTCAAATAGCAGCTAACACAAAACAGTCACTCAAAATTTTGCTTGCTGATTACATGAGTGGATGACATAACTGGCCCTGCCCTGCGGAGGAATCTCTGGTTGAAGGTGGCAGTGACAGTGAGCTGCCCAACAGCTAAGCCAACCTCAAGTACTGTCTGTCCAGAAAAGGCTGCACCTACCTAGGATGGCCACCACCTCGTCATCCTGGATCACCTCCAGGGAGCCGGAGACCACGAAGCAGAGGCTGTCCACACTCTCTCCTGCGTGGTAGATGAGGTCCCCTGGGGCACAGTGCACCGTCTGGAACTCCATGGCCAGGGCACGCAGGCAGCCATCACTGGCCAGCCGGAAGGCGGGGTGCTCCTTGAACACCTTGCGATTCAGATGCACGCAGATGTCAGCTCTCATGTCCTTGGGGCAGATCTGTAGAACCTGGCCAGGCACAGGAAGAGATAGCATGAGGGTCCTCACTGTAGCCCCAGCCCAAGTCCCTCAGCTCCCCAGGGGCAGAAGCAACACCTAGGAAGTCAGACTGCACTGTTCTAGCCAAAGCCCCAGACCTCTGGAGTTTCCATTCTACAGGAGAGACAGGAAGTGCCTAAAACAGTCCATGGTAAAAGCTTGGGACACGGGTCTCAGAGCTGGAAGCACATGGCACTACTTTAGAGCAGTGACCAGGAAGGCCTCTCTGAGGAGGTGACGTTCAAGCTGACCCCTGCTTAACATCAGAGTGAAGGAAGAACATTCCAATAGCAAAGTCAACACGTGGGCTCTGGGAAGGTCTGAGCAACAGCCTACATGAATGAAGGGAACGTAGTAGGAGAGGAGGCTCAGAGAGAACCCCAAGTGCCAGAGCCATTCAGGGCGTGCAGAGACTTTGATTTTATTCTGATTGTGATTGGGAAACACTGGAGGGTTTTTTCAGCAGGGAACAACAGGATGAGCTGACATATTTCAACAGGAACATTTCAGCTAGAGAGTGGGGTTACAGAGCTCTGACTGCAGGATGGCAAGTGTGGAGCAAGGAATTCACGTAGGTCCCTCTCACAGGCATCCGGGGAGATGACAAAGGAACCCTGGGTGCTGGCATGCTACCCAGTGAGATGTGGCCAAATTCTGAATGAATGAATGTATTTGGACTGATGCATAAGTATGCATATTCATGGGGTCCACTGTGGCATTTTGATGTATGAATGTGACATGTATGATGATCAAACCAAGGCCATTAGCATGTCTATCCCCTCAAATGGTTATCAATTAACAAACAATAAGATCTAGCACTAGGGGGCCGGCGCTGTGGCACAGTGGGTTAACGCCCTGGCCTGAAGCGTCGGCATCCCATTTGGGCACCAGTTCTAGTCCCAGCTGCTCCTCTTCCAATCCAGCTCTCTGCTATGGCCTGGGAAAGCAGTAGAAGATGGCCCAAGTCCTTGGGCCCCTGTACCCACGTGGGAGACTGGGAAGGCGCTCCTGGCTCCTGGCTCTGGATGAGTGCAGCTCTGGCCATTGCAGCCAATTGGAGAGTAAACCAGCAGATGGAAGACCTCTCTCTCTCTCTCTCTCTGCTTCTCTTTTCTGTGTAACTCTGACTTTTGAATAAATAAAATCTTAAAAAAAAAAAAAGATCTAGTGCTAGGTGCTGATGAAGAACAATGAAGAAAAGAAGGTTAGGGAAGGATCATTATTTAGCATTTTAAATGCTAAGTTTATGCAAGGATTCAATATTCCATGTGCCATTATCATATCCTTTTTACAGATGAAGAAACTGAGGCATGGTGGAGATATAGTTTGCCCACAGTTGCAGAGACAGGAAATAGCAGTTAGGCTCTCATACTCGGTAGCTTGACTCAGAGCCTTGATTAGAGCCCAGCCAATTCCTATACCAGCCAGCTGCCCAAACAAAAGTGCCTGTAATTTGACTGTCTGACTGTTGGCATCTCCAAAGCAAAACAGGATCTGTCAGAGGCCACAGAGGTCTCCTCTCATCTTCTGCAGAAATGAGAAATTCCCAAACCTTTCTGGGGGGAGAAATTCTCTCTGAAATAGATTTCTGCACAAAACTGTTTCACGGCTGCTAACAGCAGCCAGCACTGGGTAGAGTGACCTGCAAGGGGACCTCTGCAGAGAAGCTGAATTGTCTCTGAAATCGTCACATCTCCCATGCTAACCTGTGAGCACAAAACCAAGCGTGTCCCGGGAAGCTGCAGTGCTGGGTTCTTTCCCGCCTCTCTGCCTCTGGAGCTCACCCCGACTTGGAAGCCCCTCGGCCTCCTTCAAAACCCAGCCGGAACCTCACCTTGCCCTTGCTGGCTTCTCTCATGTCCCCACCCTGTGTCTGGCATGGAAGCCCAGCAGTGGGAAGAGCTCACAGAGCTGGAAGCCCCGCCCCTTCCCCTGAGCAACTCCACTGCTCCATACCCTTGGTCACTCCTGGCACACACTGGCTGCCCGCATGGACTTGGTGTAACTACACCCACAGTACACTGCTTAGGACATTGTCTGGCCCCAGCAGGGGACACAGTAACACCAGGCTCCTCCCTCTCTGTGCCTCTGCCTTCTTGCTCTGGGTTTCAGGCCACCAAGAAGTGAGCACCATTCTGGGCACAGGGATGGAGGGCTGACCCAGGCAGAGAGGGAACTTCAGACCACCATGGCTCAGGCCACTTGCCAAACAACTCATTAAAAACAAGGCTGCTGGGGGCTGGTGCTGTGGTGCAGCAGGTTAAAGCTCCAGCCTGCAGCACCGGCATCCGCTGGTTCAAGTCCCAGCTGCTCCACTTCCCATCCAGCTCTCTGCCATGGCCTGGGAAAGCAATAAAACATGGTCCAAGTCCTTGGGCCCCTGCACCCTTGTGGGAGACCCAGAAGAGCCTCCTGGCTCCTGGCTTCAGATCAGCGCAGCTCTGCCTGTTGCAGTCATCAGGGAGTGAACCAGCGGATGGAAGACCTCTCTCTCTGGCTCTGCCTCTCTGTGTAACTCTTTCAAATAAATAAAATAATAAATATTTTAAACACACACACACACACACACACACACAAAGCTGCTGGGCTTGGGGGTGTAGCACGGCTGCTGGGCTTGGGGGTGTAGCGCAAGCCATCATCTGGCTTGTGATGCCTGTACCTCATATCAGAGTGCTCGTATAAGTCGGTGGATGTTCTATTTTTGATCCGGCTCCCTGCTGGTGTGCCTGGGAAGCAGCAGCTGGGTCCCTGTCACTCACGTGGGCGATCTGGATACAGTTCCCAGCTCCTGGCTTTAGCTTGCCCAGCTCTGGCCCAAGATTCTGTGGGTATTTGAGGAGTAAACCAGCAGATATAAGATTGGATGTGTATGTGTGTGTGTGTGTGTGTGATGGAGGAGGGATGTCCTCCCTCTCTTTTTCAAGAAAATAAATGTTCTAAAGGCTTCTGCACAGAAAACCTGGGTTTCTTCTAAGCAGATCACAGGGACTGGGGAGAATTCACGCGTCATTGTCAAAGCTCTGCCCGGTATTTCAGAACCAAGATGTATTCTCCAGGTGAGGTCGCCTTAAACAACATTTGGTTTCCTCTGGGTTGGGCTTTGCCCGCAGAGGCTGTAGTGAATGAGGCCTTGGCATGGACACAATGTTTTATTCATGGGCACAGCTCCCAGAGCCGACTGATGGTGCTGTGTGAGGCGGCCAGGCAAGTCGGAGCGCACAAATCACGCGCTGTCACGGCCATCAGTCATTCCCATCATTCTTCTCTTCCTCTGGCTCCACAATGGGGCAGGTGGGGTGTCCAGAGGCTCAGCTCTGCAAACCCACTGCCCTCCTGAGTTGCCTGCCCCATTTCTTGGTCCTGTGGAGAGACCATCCCTGTTAATCCACAAGGGCCTCAAAGGCCACGAAGAGATGCCACAGGGAGTCCCCTGGAGCTTCCCACGGGCTGGGCGGGACAGAGCATAACACGGTTGATCCTGCTTTAGGATCAGGCGGAATGGGGTTCAAGCCCCAGCCTCAGTACGCATTAGACATGTGAACCAGAAGCAACACTTCACTCCTTTCCCAGGTCTTCAACTTGAACTTGACTATAGATCCTGGGACTCAGTGCACTGCTGTCTGAGCCCAGCACACATTAGAGCTCCATGCCCGTGAGCTCGCATTGTGTAGGGTCCCAGGAACAGCAGCGCATCTAAGGTAGGCTTTCAAGTCCAGAAGGTCACAGGTGAGAGGGCCTTGGAGGTCACTGAGCCTTAATGGTCATCCCGTTTCCATGTGTCACAGACAACATGCTCAGGGTCATCAATGTACTACTGATAAACGCAGAAGACCCCAGCACTGGGCCCCTGGTCATCCCTGACCGTTCTGTCCCAGAATGGAAGTACGAGGAAGCCAGAGGGAGGCAGGAGATCTCCAGGCTGGTTCTCTCCTAAGCAGTTCCTGCCACAGGTCCTGCCAGGAGCAGCAGCCACCCTGGGACAGGCAGGGCCCTGCGGGGGTTTGCCATAGTTGAGTCCACGACTATTTCTTCTTCCATCTGGATCAAGATGTAGGACAAATCCCAAAGCCCACCAGGAAAGTGAGGCAGCAGAGGGGAATAGGGAAGGAGATGCTGACTCTGCAGTCTCCCAGGGCAGCGCCCAGCCCAGTCCTGTAATGCGGGTGGGGAAAGGCTTCTTGCCAGAACATCAGATTTACAAAGGCATCCCAGTGCCTGGGAAAAAGAGCCCCAGGGCACAGAGATCAAGTTCCTTTCTACTCCATCAGCTACCAGGAATCCACAGAACCTACAGGCATTGTTGAGAGAGCAGAGAAGAAACAAAGGGTACAGTTGGGGCAGGTGGCTGGCAAAGCCAGGAACCATGGCCAGCTCCAAGGATGCCCTGCCCATCCAAAAGTTAGTACAACTCCATCTGCATTCATCCTCCCCCCCAGGACATGTTTCAAATCAGAAAGTAGAAAAGTGATAGTAAGAAAAGCACAGGCTTTGAAGTCAGATAGAAGTGTGTTCAAATCCTGGTTTTGCCATTCTTCATGGCCAGGAGCAGGCAGTAACGTGAATTGGGCTTCTTGTCCTCACCCCTTCAACAGACCTTACAGCAAACCCCTCCCCTGAAGGCTGTCATAAACCCTCAAAAGGGAACTGGGGCAGGCTGGGAAATAGGAGAAGCCCAAATGCAAGGGGACTTCAGAAAGTTCATGGAACAATGGTTTAAAAGCTAAGTTTATTTGGGTGCAAAAATAGTTTGGAATTCATGCTTTTTTATTTTCATTAGACATATTTTCCATGAACTTTTAAAACATAAACTTACTTGACAGGCTCAGAGAGGGAGAAAGAAGAAGAGAATAAGTGTTCCTCAAATGCCCTCAAAGGCCAACCTGCACTGAGGCCCAAGCCAGGAGCCCAGGACTCAATCCAGGTTGCCCACATGGGTGGCAGGAACACAGTGATTGGGGCCAACGCTACTGCCTCCCAGGGCCAGCACTGGCAGACAGCTGGAGTCAGGAACCAGAGTTAGGACTAGAGCCCAGGCACTCCACATGGTATGTGATCATCTTAACCTGTGTCTTACCTGTTAGGCCAAACACCTGGCCCTTATCACCTTTTTTTTGTATTTTATTTTAAAGACAGCATTAGAGAGACAAACAGGGAGAGAGAAACAGGGAGAGAGGGGAAAAAAAGGGGGGGGGTGTTGAAAATGAGAGAAAGAGAGAGAGATCTTCCGTTTGTTAGCTCACTCACCAAGTGGCCACAACAGCTGGAGCTGGGTTGGTTCAAAGGCAGGAGCCAGGAGCTTCTTCCACGTCTCCTATGTGGGTACAGGGGCCCAAACATTTGGATCATCCTCCACTGCTTTCCCAGGCACATTAGCAGGGAGCTAGATTGCAAGTGGAGCAGCTGGGACTCAAACCAGCACCCATATGCAATGCCAGCATCACAGGTGGTAGCTTTACCCACTGTGCCACAGCACCAGCCCACTACATCAACTTTTGAAGACTACTGGTACTTGTTTTAATGTATATTCAAGAAATGGTAGCTAGTGCTGTGGTACTGGTGTTACTAGGGCAGATAGTCAACAAAACCAAAGTAATGTTTCTTTTAAGTTGAGGATCAGTTAAACTTAGTTCAATTTTTCCTTCTAAACTCTCGACTATTCTAATGGAGAAAGACCAGAAACATGGACAACTGACTCCCAAGCCAATTGAATTTGGCTTTGAATGTATCCTTGGATTTTCTACAATGGAGCTATCATTGTTTTCCACATTCTCTCATTGCAAGGAACCAGTATTCCCCAAGTACTTACAGACTGCGAATAAAGGGAGGGGGTGGAGTTAAAAAGACAGAGGCGGAGAAAAACAAGTGGGAGTAAATCTTTGCATATGGAAATTATACAAAGAAGATAATTCCTAAATGAATAAAAAGTCCACTGTGTGAGGGTACTTCAAAAAGCTCATATGAAATAGAATTCTAAGTTTACTTTGATGCAAAAAATAATTGAAATCCATGCTGTTTCTCTGTTTTTTGGTAAACTTTTTATATTACCTTTATTCTTTTCTCTATTCTTGCTGATATCATCCAATTTTCTTTACCTTGCCACAAAGTATCTAGCATAATAGAGTTGTTGCACAGCAGTAGGCTTTTATCATCCCCTCTAACTCATAGGCAGGAAATGGATGCCAGGAGAAGGAGCTAACCTGATGCCATGGTCAAGTTCATTGATGACTAAGGCACAAGCCCTTGACTGGCATTTCCCAAACTGGTCTAATGAATGGAGTCACCTGCGCATTTGTTTAAAATCCTTCTCCCCAGGGCCAGCACTGTGATACAGCAGGTAAAGCTGCCACTTGCAATACTGGCAGCCCATATCAGAGTGCCAGTTCAAGTCTCAGTTGCTCCACTTCCAATCTAGCTTCCTGCTAATGTGCCTGGGAAGGCAGTGGAAGACGGACCAAGTGCTTGGGCCCCTGCCACCCATGTGGGAGACCAGGATGGAGTTCCTGGCCCCTGGCTTTGGCCTGGCCCAGATCTGGCTGTTGCAGCCTTTTAGAGAATGAACCAGCAGATAGAAGTTCTCTTTCTCCTCCCCACCGTGTGTGTGTGTGTGTGTGTGTGTGTTCTTTCTTGTAAATAAATATTTGAAAATAAAAGCAAAATTTTCCTCCTTCCACCTCTCCAAGTTCTCACACTACCCACCTGGACTAGAACTGGAATCTGCTTTTAGTGATCACATCACAGGATTTTTTTTTCTAGATGGAAACAGGCTAAGCTGAGTGAGTAAACAGCCTTGGAAATATAACTTCAAGGCAGGCCGGAACACACAATAAGCAAGATAAATCATAGGTTACTCAAATTTTTTTAAACAGATCCAACTTCATACAAAAAATTCCATGATGAACAAGACATGAAAAGCTTGGATAAAGACAAGATCGGCAGCAGGGCTGTGCTCATGGAACCTGGGGCAAAAAGAAAACCAGGAATGTTCACTGCCCTCCCCTCGTCACAGGCTGCTTCCTATCATTGCCCAAGTTTGGAAACTGCCTGGACATTTAGATTTCTAGTTCCTCTCTTCTTGAGGAGATACACCTGCCTTTCCAACTGCTTCAATAATGACTTTTTATTGCTGTTCTTGAGTAAGGCTAATCTGGAAGCCAGTAAGATAAACTTCTGGACAGAAGACCTGGAGATGCAAAGCAACCCGGATGAGCTCACAGCACAGTCAGGTTTGAGAGCCACTGCCCTTGGAGCGCCTCCGCCTGCCCTGGGAACCCACCAGCAGGTGTTTCACCTGAGCTCCACGTCCTCCTCACCTTCTCTGTGTCGATGCCCCTGGACATGGACCAGGTGGACACGATATAATCCATGACCCGCTCACTCAGTCCTTTGGGCACCTGGTAGAGCTTCAGGAAGTCCCGCACGCTGTTGAGCATCTCGTGGTACCTGTTGGTGTTGGCGTACATCTGTTGGAAAATGGTCGTCACATTTCCAAAGATGGTGGCGTAGAGAAGTGCTAGAGGGGAGGAGGAGGAGCAGAAGAAACGACACGTGAGAGGTCCCCAAGGATGGCCTCGGAATGTCCACCTTGCTGAGAGCCACCCCTCCCCAGGCACGCTGTCCTGACGCGTCTCAGGAGACCCTCCCAGCTGAGCCTCAGGAAGTAGACCCAAACAGTCTCCTAAGAGCAGGTCACTAGGGCAAACACGTGGGAGGCGGGGCCAGGGTGGATGGGAACTGGCAAGGCTGGGGGAGGGTTGGGGCAGAGCTAGGATGCGGATGGTTGGGGTTCATGTTGCTTCACTTTATACTTTATGTTTTTAGCAGATGTGCCTAATTTGGAGGCCATTCTTTGTGGATTTTCTTTTCTTTTTTCTTTTTTTTTCTTTTCTTGAGAAGCAGGGATACAATGAGAGAGATAACCAGAGATTAAGTTCCCATCCACTGGTTCTCTCTCCAAATGCCCATCACAGCCAACACTGGACAGGGCCAGGACAAAGCCAGGAGCTGGAAACTCAATCCATGTTTCCCACATAGGCAGCAGGGACCCAATTACTTGAGCTCTCACTGGTGCTTCCTAGGGTCTGCATTAGCAGGAAGCTGGAGTCAGCAGCTAGAACTAGGAGAGAAACCCGGGTACTCTGCCAAGGGACACGCACCTTACCCACTACGTGACATGCCCAGTCCCACTTTAAAGTTCTTCTCACTGGCCTGGGCTGAACCTTGCCCAAGGCCACCTGTCAAATATGTGCTCAGGTGCTTCAAACCAGTCCAAATCCAAACCTACCAGCAAACAATCTTTACCAAGCTCTGCTCTGCGCCCAACACTGGGCTACCTCCCTGGGACAGGATGGTAAAGAAGACACTCCGTCCTCATGCAGTGAGAAGACAGACGTTGAACGTACAATCACACATTAACAACAGCAAGTCTGCAGAGGGCAATGAGGGGTGGCGATGCCTTCCCCTGCACTTGCTGTTAAATCCTTGTTTGGTACTTATTGTTACATCCTTGCTAAGTCCTGTTTTGTACTTTCTGTCAAGACAATGATCGACCTCACAGTGCTGTGGCCCTGGGTAGAAGAAGTGTGGCTTTAATAAGGTGAGAAAAAACTCAGGTCCTTTCTGAGATAGAACTTGGTCCATTTGTTCCTACTGCTCCCCCTAGCTAAGATCTCCAAAGAGAATCATGACGTCATCACAAAACTCCACCTCCCATCTCCAACTCCCATTTGCTGTCCAAGGCTGACTTCAGGAGTTCCTACTTCCAGGAAGCCTTCTCTCTCCTTCTGTCACCATGAGGATAACTCTAACTCAAGGCACATTTCTATGGAGCTTGAGTCACACGACTGTGCAATAACAGCCTTCCATCTTTGCCTGTCTCCCGAGAGAATGAGGTGTTTGAAAGCTGGCCCCATCCTTCCCACGCCATTGTAACCCTGGGCTGTAATACTACGCTAGGACTTCGTGAATGTCAGAACAGTGAATTTCACATTTTTTTTTGCTTTGGTTTTATTGTTTTTAAGGAGTTGATAGACAATGAACTACACATTTAAAGTATATAAGTTGCTAAGTCTTGACATAAGTATACACTCATACAACCATCACCACAATCAAGACAGTGAACACACCCATCACCCCCAAAAGCTTTGTCAGGTCCCTCTGAAGTCTCCTAGCCCCTAGCAATCACTGCTCTCTTTACTCACATTTTCCAGAATTTTCCATAGAAAGAATCATATAGTATTTTCCCTTTTGAAACATCTTTATTAAGATATAATTTAGACACCGTATCAGGAAGGTCCTTGAAACCAACCCCTGTACAGTGCCTTGAATGCAGGTGCTGGATACCAAAAGGTCCCAGCCTCCCAGCCTCCCTGCCGTAACCTAAGGAGTCCTTGCTCTGTTTTTGTTTGGTCTGCTTTGCTTTGCTTATTACAAATCACCCTCTTACTAGAATTAACTCACTGAATTGAAGGAGTGGTGCGTTTATCACAGGACTCAGGTGGCGATTTGTTTTGCCAACGTTCAGTTTTGGACTAAGGAGTTTTCTTTTCCTGGAATTCCAGGCCTGGAGCAGAAAGTAATTACCACCTGCATGTAGCCCCCAGGCTGGCAAAGCCCACTCTTCCATCACAAAGAGCACAGCCACTCAAGGAAGGCCACCAGTATCACAGACCAACAGGAACTTGAACACGAGCTGACCATGCACCTGTCAAACCCCAGCTTCCATCTCTAAGAACCTTCTCAGGGAACCTGAGTTCAGCGAGAGTGCACAGCTCCTTGCTCTGCACTCTAACACCTCCTTTCTCTCACCGCCCCAACATCAGCAAGTAGTTTTCTGTATATCACACAAACTGCCCCATTTTGGAGGTTTCTAAAGCAACTCCTTCAACCAGATTTAGGGGTTGTTGTGTATCACCTTTAAGCATAAGATCCAGTGTTTTCTGTATATTTACAGGGTTGTACAATGTTTGCCAGAACCAGAGTCCAGAATATTTTCATGCCAAGAAGAAATCTCACACATATTGCCAATCATTCTCCATTTTCCCCAAAATCCCCTAGCATCAAGCAACCACTATTCCACTCTCAGTCTCCGTGGATTTGCATATCCTGGACATCTTATATAAATTACAACTGCACAGTGTGTGGCCTTCTGGGACTAGTTTTTTCTCACACAGCATGGTTTTCAAGGTCTCTTCACACTGTAGCATGCATCAGTATTTCATTCCTTTATAGTGCTGAATAATATTTCATTATGTGGACATTCTACAGGTCACAGATTCACTCAGTCATGAGCATTTGGACTGTTTCCACCTTTTGGTTATTATGAATTATGTTTTTTTAATATTTTATTTATTTGAGAGATAGAGTTACAAACAGTGAGAGGGAGAGGGAGAGGGAGAGACAGAGAGAAAGGTCTTCTGTCTGCTGGTTCACTCCCCATTTAGCCAGAACGGTTGGAGCTGCACCAATCCAAAGCCAGGAGCCAGGAGCTTCGTGTGGGTGTCCAACGCGGGTGCAGAGGCTCAAGAACTTGGACCATCTTCTATTGCTTTCCCAGGCCATAGCAGAGAGCTGGATTGGAAGAGGAGCAGCTGGGACTAGAACTGGTGCCCATATGGGATGCTGGCACTGCAGGTGGAGGATTAACCTACTGCGCCACAGCGCCAGCCCCATGAGTTATGTTACTACGAACATTCAAGCACAGATTTTTTATGTAGACATAATTTCCATTCTCTTGGGGACTACCCAGGAATGAGTTGCTGGCTCACACGATAACCAGGTTAAACCTGTCTGGGAAACTGCCGGATAATTTTCCAAAGCAGCTTTACCAACTTCTATCTCCCACCAGCCAGGAATGAAGGTTCCAATGTCTCCACATCCTCACCAACACTACTAAAACATCTGCCTGCTTGATTACTGGTGTCCTAATGAGCTTCACCTGCTACCTCCTAGTGGATTTCAAATAAATAAATTTTCTTGTTGGTATTGTTTGCAAGACCAAAAGCTTTCAGTGTTGATGTAGTCTTTAATTTTTTCTTTCATACTTCGGCATTTTTCATTAAGCATAATTATTTTGAGATTCATTTGTGTTGTTGCATGCATCAGTATTTAATTTTTTTAAAAAAAGGAATGTTTTAGAAATAATTTGAAATTCATAGGAAGTTGCAAAGACAATACAGAGAGATTCTGTGTACCTGCCACCGAATTTCCTCCCTTAGCTACATCTTCTGTACCCAGTGCACACAGATAGACATCATGATAGAGTCTATGTGTGGTTCTGTGTCATCTCATGATATGTGTAGATTCACGTAACTAGGACTATCCCATTGTCACAAAGACCTCCCTCAGACTTCTTTAGAATCACACTTGGCTGGCGCCATGGCTCACTAGGCTAATCCTCCACCTAGAGGCGCCGGCACACCGGGTTCTAGTCCCGGTCGGGGCTCCGGATTCTGTCCCGGTTGCCCCTCTTCCAGGCCAGCTCTCTGCTGTGGCCCGGGAGTGCAGTGGAGGATGGCCCAGGTCCTTGGGCCCTGCACCCCATGGGAGACCAGGAGAAGCACCTGGCTCCTGCTTTCAGATCAGCGCGGTGCACCAGCTGCAGCGCGCCAGCCGCAGTGGCCATTGGAGGGTGAACCAACGGCAAAGGAAGACCTTTCTCTCTGTCTCTCTCTCTCTCACTGTCCACTCTGCCTGTCAAAAGAAAAAAAAAAAAGAATCACACTAACCCTATCCCTCACAGACAACTACAATGGCCTGTCGTCTGCATTATGTCATCCAAAGAGTGCTATCTAAATAAAAGCATACAGTACATAGCCTTCTGAGACTGATCATTTCGTCCCATCAAAGACCCTTGAGACCCACCCAAGTTGTTGCATGTATCAATAATAGTTCTTTCCTTTTTATTGATAAATACTCTCCTGTTGGAGGGATGCCCCAGTCATTTCTTTCAAATAATCTTCAGGCTTAGCAGAGGGAAAATTAAGAGAGATGCGTGATTTTAGAGGTCGGCAAAGGGCTGGAGGCATGAGCGCACCTGTAGACAGCTGTAAACAAGGATCAGAAAGGGTGCTGCTGGTACCACAAGGTTACCAGGGAGTGGCATAAACAAAGGGGTCCAGAAATAGAGTGATGCGGATACCAGCTCTTCTAAGCTCGGAAAGAATCACAAACAATGAGGTCGAAGCTCTTGTCTCCTCCACGTCAGTACGGAGATCGAGAAAGCTCAGGACCATCCTCCCAGGGGCTGGGCAGGTGGCCTTGTGCCCAGCGACTCCGGCCCTAACTCAGAAGCTGGTGTGGCAGTACTGCCTCAGCGGTTTTCTGATCCGAGTGAACCAGGCTTCACAGGCAACGAGCAGAGGACGGCTGCCAGAAAACTCATTTAATCTTGAGCTTCAAACAATAGTCACACCAGATCAATATGGTAAGAATAGCTCTCTGGTCTGTGATCTGTGAACCAGGCAGCGTGGCCGAAACACTGCCGTGCTGGCCAGACAAAGCAGTGACGTCACA